CACCACACCACACCACACCACACCACACCACACCACACCACACCACACCACACTACACCACACCACACGTTTTATAACAGTTGGTTAACGGAAGTCTGTTGCCGTAAGATTCAAATTGGATAGGAGAATTGTAGTAAGTTTTTTAGTAAGTTTTAGCGAAACTCTTTTGAAAACTCTGAAATGAATGTCTACTTTTTCTCCAAGAATACTTGCAACTGTCCTAGAAAATCCATATGCAGATATAACTTTGTTGAAAATACTCATCACTGCGAATGCGAAGCCGGATTTACTGGACAAAACTGTGAAACGAGTAAGTGATTTAAAGAATATTAACTTTTTTCACTGGATATACCTATACTAAATGCGGGCTGGTCGGCTGGTTTGTTGTTTGATTGGTTGCTAGATCTTCATGTATTTCATTAGTGCCATGCGGTCTACATATTCTCATCTTTGCATCATAATTACCGCTACCTAACATCTATTTCACCCCGTCCTGCTCTCAGTCTGACCTCTAGCTCAGCTGGTAGAGCATCGGTAGTACAGTTCCGAAGGTCGTGGGATCGATTCCCAGCGAGGTCGGAGATTAATTTTTCCGAATTTAATTCCAAAGGCTTTCGCCCGGAATAACCTCGTTCCCAAGCACTATAACTTATCTATATTTCTATTATCTTCATGTATTTCATTAGTGCCATGCGGTCTACATATTCTCATAATTGTATAATTGTATAATGTTATTGGTATTTCGTTTGGTAGTGGTTTGACCCTCCTTTGGAATTTTTTATCTTTTTTAATAACACATTGTCTGACACTTGGTCTTCGTTTCATTTTTATTAGATATCGATGAGTGTGCATCTAATCCTTGTCAAAATGGAGGATCATGTCAAGACCGAGTCAACTCATACAACTGTATATGTCCTGCAGGATTTACTGGGGCCGACTGTCAGACAGGTAAGACACTGATTTTTTTCCTATTATTATCTATTATTATATGTACGCAATCTAGGTGTGTGGTTAGATTCAAATTTACCTATGGGCGACCACATAACGAAAACATGTTCTGCTACATTTTATTACTTTTATAACATAAGAAGGATTAGAAAGTATATCTTTGCAGGGAATGCACAGAGACTTTATTCACGCTTGTATACCCAGGCGCCTTGATTATGGTAATAGTCTTTTTTACGGTCTACCAGAGTGTCAGCTTCGAAGGCTTCAGAGGCTTCAGAATGCGGCTGCTCGTCTTGTCTTTCAAGAGAGCAAATTTTGTCATATCACGCCTATATATTACTTGTCACGCTTCATTGGTTAGGCATAAAATATCGCATTGATTAGTACTTATCAATTACAAGGCTATCCAATATCTGATATCGTTAAAGAGTAATAGTCGGAAATATAGTCTTAGTAGTATACAGAATGAGGGTTCTGGAATGGGTGGATCAGGGYGTATCGTGGATCAACCCTAAGAATGACGTCAGCCCTAAGTAGTATAGGCCGCATGGCACAACCCTTTTTTTGGACGGGGAAGGGGACGGGGAAGGACGGGGAAGGACGGAGAACATTAATTATTCATCGATCATTAGCATAAAACGACGGGTAGGTATTGTTTCGGGTTACCATGACGACCAATTGACGTCATAAGACTATTGTTGACCGGTATGAACAAGTCTTTGTTTCGGGAATGGTGGGCCAGTGATGGGCACCTCCATTGTTTATTAAATCGTTACCATAAAATGACGAGCAGACTATTGTTTATTAAATCGTTACCATAAAACGACGGGTAGGTATTGTTATGCAAGTTTGTGCAAGTTTTTGTTTAGCAATCCAATTTATAGAGCGCGGGGATTTTGAATTTCTAACTCCAAAACTCAACCAANATAAAAAGTTTTGAGAGAAAGTCTTTGATTTGTCGATTCGTCGAGAAAAATGCTTGTCAAAAAAAAAATATATATATATATATACGATTGTTTGCTAAAAAAACACACACCTGAATTCTTTAAGAACACTTTTTGATCCATCTTTGACTACATGAAAGTGTTTTTTTAATTGTTTTTGGTCTATAACTTGTCCTAAAGTGATTTTTTTCTGTGCATTTGAGAGCCGCATTTGTGAGTAGCTTTGCTTTGACATCAAGCGGGATTCCTGTGTTGTGTACACGGATGGACGGACGGACGGACGGACGGACGGACGGAAGTAACGTCAGCCAAGCAATGAAAAATAAACTCGATGGTTTACCATTTTTTCTTAAGTATGGGGCTCCGCTCGCGCAGGCCTTCGGCCCGCGCAGGAGCTCCGCTAAAAATCAGACTTGAAAACTGGTTAATTTCTTTTCCCATATTTTTGTTATTAGTTAATTTTTTAGAATGTCAGTGTCTAATTTAAAGCTTAGTTTTCGAGTTAGACACTGTCATTTGTAATTGTTTTTTATCAAGAGCAATACACAAAATATATTAATTGCGATACTAAATAATATGAAGCAAAATAAATAAATAAATCTAGCCATATAGAAGAGGTTATGTAAAGCAACTTATAACACACTCAACAAAATTACTCGACTCTGATTGGTCGAGAGGAAAACAATTATAGCGTTAATTGTACTGCGTAGGAGTACCGAATTAAGTCGATATGAAAACACGGCCAAAACAATGTCAACAGAGGCAAAAAAAAAAGCTGTAAAAACTAATAAGAACTAATCTTTTTTATGCATTTCATTCGCGCGATGGACTGAAAATCGGCCGCCAAATAGACGAAGATGAACGGCGTCGCTTCGCATTTTTTACTGAAATTTTGTTGAGTGAACTATAAACAAAAAATCGCACGATCTCGAGTACAATTTGGAAATTAATAGACACGACTAATGTTTTGAAAGTTCTTGTAATTGCACGAGCCTTCTATTTATAATTGTATTTACAATATTTGTATCATGTATAATTGTTTTGGTAGTTAATTCGAAGATGAGGGGCATTGGCTTTGCAGCAAATGCTCCTTAACCTTGTTTTAAAAAAATGAAGGATTTTTTAACTAATTTGGAATTTCTTTCCATAGATCTGGTGCTAGAGCACTAATTGTTTGTTTGCCAATATTTGTTTGAACTTTTTGCTTGAGAAGGTTATTGTTTGAGGTATATCTAGTGCTATAGCTGTGAATGCTCTTGGAAATTTTGAAATAATCATCAAAGATTGATGGAAGCTGCTTAGTTACCCACTGGTGAATAAATTTTAGTAATTGTAATTTTAAAATGTTGACTAGAGTTAGAAGGTCTAAAAGATTGATTAATGGAAGAGCACTATCAGTATTTTTACCATATAGTGTAGCAAAGAAAAATATTCTGATAATGTGGTTTTGTGGAGTTTCCATGATAGACTATCATCGATCATTACTCCTAAGTATTTAATGTGGTTTTTCTTCTCAATAGAGATAGATGAGCTCTCTTTGTTTGGAATTTTTATATCTATAAGGACGAATACTTGTTGTCGTAATATGCTCTCCGTGTTACATTTCCTCCAGCATTAAAATAAATCAAGCTTATAACAGAAATATAAAAGGTTTTGAGAGAAAGTCTTTGATTTTTTGATTTGTCGAGAACAATGCTTGTCAAAAAAATATATATATACTCGGATTGTTTGCTTAAAAACACACACCCGAATTCTTGAAGAACACTTCTTGATCCATCTTTGACTACATGAAGGTTTTTTWAAATTGGTTTTGGTCTATAACTTGTTCTAAAGCGATTTYTTTCTGTGTATTTGAGAGCCGCATTTGTGAGTAGCTTTGCTTTGACATCAAGCGGGATTCCTTTGTTGTGTACACGGACGGACGGACGGACGGGCAAAAGTGACGTAGTAGCTAAGCCATGAAAAATCAACTCGATGGTTTACCATTTTTTTCTTAAGTATGGTGCTCCGCTAATAAATTGTTATATTGTGGATTAATTTGTGTACGAGCATTTTTTTAAAAAGAGCTAATATTGCGGCCACCTCCTAGTCTCCCCCACAGCCGCTTTCAGTGTCGTCACGCAACGCTTCCAACTAGCCAACTCCGGGCTCATGCATTTTTGATACTCTTTCATTGAAAACGCGCTTGTGCAAACCACTTTAGGTGTCCTAGTGCCCTTGCATGGACATGTACCTATGGAATGTCATGGAATGGACTTGATCAGTTGACTTCCACCAAAACCTTCTTCGTCGGGAAGGCAAATTGTACAATTTCGCGCGCGAGATTGAGAAGCGCTGTAAGTTGTAAGTCGCATCAATAGCATTATACCGCATGTTACAGATAGATACTTGTTAATTACTAAGATAGTTTAATGAATGGAAAGAAAACTATTTTGAAATGTCTTAGATTGGGCCAATTAAGCCCTTTAAAGGCTCTGTCTTGTTGGTACTCTATCAAAACTTTTATTTCAAATAAGCTTTTGCAAAGCGATATGCCATTTCAGGGGTGAGTTACTAGGCGTCTCATCTCGAAAAAACCCGTCTCTCAATTACGCCAGTATCAAGAAAAATGTTGTGATGTTGTGATATTGTGATATTGCTGTAAACGCAAGCTTTTAGCCAAATCAAAACGTAAAATACTTTGCTGCCTTTTCCTTTAAGTCAATGCAGATACTTGCAACAAAGATATGGTTTTTAAAGAGACTCTGGAAGGTAAGACGCTAGCGAATCATGTCTTCAAAACCGTACGAGCCACGAACGATGCGCACTGCGAATCCCAGTGTTTCTTGGATGATCGCTGTATCTCCTACAGCTTTGGCACAAGTGCGAGTGGAGAGAAATACATGTGTGAGCTGAGTGACTCGGATCACTTTATGCATCCTGGAGATCTAGTGGAAAGACCTGGTGCCATCTACAGAAGTGCTCAGGTAAGAGTATCATTGCCAGTTTAATTCATATTCAATACACTTCTAACGTTACAAATTTCTTTGAACACCAACGACCAGCGCAAAATATCAGTCTAACCGCAGTGCAAAAAGTTATTTAATTAATTAAGCGTTTCAGAGAGTCGTTATTAGCTATTCCTAGGTTGAGGGGGGAAACGGTGCATTGTGGGGCTGTTTTAGGAGACGTATTTTCAAGATGGCGTCTATTGCGTCCACAATGTACCGTAATGCCAACTCGATCCAGTTTATTCCTCAACCTCCGAACGGCTAATAACAATGACGTCTCATGACAGCTAAGAATTTTCTTCATTCTAGTAAATTTCTTTTCGCGGTTTAGAACACCTGCAACTGTCCCAAAGACTCGACATGCAGATATAACTTTGCTGACAACACGCACCGCTGTGAATGTAAACTTGGGTTTACAGGAGAGCAATGCCAAACGAGTGAGTAAACTGCATTTTGCATCTTCATATTAAAGTATTGTCCATACAAATGTCAGATTTGCTCAAAATGCTGAGCAAGTACTATTTTGTCACCGGATTCCCCAGTGATGTACGGAAAGGCTAATAAGAGGATGAAATACTTTTTGGAGTTTGTTAATTTTTACGCCATAAACCTTAAGAAGCTATAATTATAAACGCAATATATGTGTTGTTAATTTCAATGAAATCATAGATAGTCGATGAGGACGAAAGGTAACTTGAACGGAGTAAAAGTAATGTGGCCTTCATTTCTTAACCAATTTCATAAAAATATATACCAAAATAATCTAAAAAGATTTAACTCCATCAAGCCGAATGGACAAATCTTATTGGCTGAGTACGTGTGAAAAATCCGCCGTCAATTTCCAACACCGTGAATGACTTCCTTGTTCAACTAACTAATATAGGCCTTTTAAAACAACACTGAGGTCACGAGACCCCACCCCCACTAACATAAACGGTTTTGTCAAAATGAACACCAGAAATAAAAACCGCACCTTTTCCGGCTATTTCTAAGCCTCATATAGAATTAAATATATGTTATATTGTAAGTTCTACAGTGTATGGCCTCTGAGAGCCAATAACTTGCTTGTCTTTGTGCATGCGTTCATCGCCTGCGTCGGGACATCACTGACATCACTAACATCATGCTCAACCTCATTAAATATATTTTTTTCATTTTCCAGTAGCATGACAGTATTACTTATAAATATCGCGTGTGAACTGCGATTAATGTATATCTAATAAAGGATCATTTTGATCTGCAGTTTACTTAAGAAATCTTACGCGGGCCTATGTCAGCGGCCGGCTGCCAAAAAGTAATAATAGCAATCAAGAAAAGCGTTTTYGAGACGTAGTTTTAGGTTTTAGATAGGACAAGAGGAGGCCAGAATTTTTACCCACTTGTGCGACCCGTTTAATTAAAGTCCATACCGAAAAATTGCCCTGTCAAGCGCGGCATTTTCTCAGGTGGTCTCCTATTATACAAACATATAAAATCGCTCCATTCAAATCAAGTTTCATCAGTCATAGCCGATCGTTTTTCACATTTCCACCGATTTTGGTAGCGGTTGTCCATGGAAACATCAAGGTATCATCAAGGTATATGTAAATCAATAAGCGATAAGGGTTTTTCCGGATATCTAGAAAAATAACTTCACAAAAACCTTCAAGTAAAACTAAACGAATCGTATTCCATTTATCTTCATTGAACTATCCTCAAACATTTGCTCACTTTGATTAAATTTACTACAATTTTGGGATAAAATTTGGGGGTCTGGGACCGAGTTTCAAAAATTAGGAGCAAATGCCCGAATACCTTGCCATGATCCCAAAACAATACTCCAGTTTCGAATATATCTGTTACACAGTATTAGCCTCGATTTCGTATGGAATTATTTATGAATATTTTTGAATCTTTATGTATTCCAATCAAATTCCGTGGAATTTTAAGGTGATTGTATTGTTGAAGTCGTGCATTCTTTGCTTTACGGTTGGTATCTGTGAATATTTAGAAACTGAAATGAGGCTTATCCTGTAAAAACCAGTCTGTGTTCAAGCAACACCGTAGTATTCGACTAGTTTGAAAATCGTCTATTTGAGCATGATAGATTTGTATTTATGTACTGCAGAAAATTACTAAGCCTCGCAATAAGCAATGAACACATATTTTTTAACGAATGCGAGAGGGGCTTAGTATTTTTCAGCATATGATTAGTAAAATTATGCAAAGGGTCTATCAGTGGCTTTTTTCAGGCTACTATTCTTTATATTTTTTTAAATTAGATATCGATGATTGTGCTTCTAATCCTTGTCAAAATGGAGGATCATGTCACGACCAAGTCAACTCATACAGATGTACATGTGCTACAGGATTTACTGGGGCCGAATGTCAGACAGGTAATAATTTGTTGTTACTGAAATTAATAGGTTGGTACAATTATATAAATGACAAACATATGTTTCAATCAGATATCGATGAATGTGCWTCTAATCCTTGTCAAAATGGAGGATCATGTCAAGACCGAGTCAACTCATACAGCTGTACATGTCCTGCAGGATTTACTGGGGCTGACTGTCAGACAGGTGAGAATCAGTTAATATCGAAATGAATATATAAGTACCAAAATTCCAAAATATTTTAACGACTCAAACACACGCCAGACGAATCATTATTTATTGAACATCTGTGCTGATCGAAACCAGGGCGAAACCAGGGCACGGCTACTGTACTATCAAAAAACAAAACGAAATTTAGTATGTTACATAAAAATACATCAATGACAAACCTTTTTTTAAAATCAGATATCGATGAGTGTGCTTCTAATCCTTGTCAAAATGGAGGATCATGTCAAGACCGAGTCAACTCATTCAACTGTACATGTGCTACAGGGTTTTCTGGGGCCGACTGTCAGACAGGTATGAATTCGAATTAAAATTTGGAAGATTATTACAAATCGTAAGAATATTTCCAGATGTGGCGAACGCATACGCAACGACTAATCAATGGTTTCCACAAGTGCTAAGGTCATAAACCGCTTCTAGTAGACAGTCATTGTATAAGATTTCTAATTGGTCAATGCGAACCAGTCATGGTTTCAGCTTTGATTGCTATACGAGGGACCGTACTTTATGAATATTAATGAGGGGAAATAAAACTAAAATTGCTTCCTCACTGTTTATCCAGAGGGATGTTAGTGGTTAAACGTCCCTCTGGAAAAATGGATTCCTACAGATCCAGAGGTAATCTTGATAGTTGTTATATTAAGTGCAATAGAAGCTTTTGGCCATCACGTGATGGCAGAAATGACAGTAGGCAGTTTGCCAGGGGAAAACTGAAAGCCTCTATAGATACCTTCATTTCTATACAGCTATTTTTAAAATGTTTKGCAAAGGTTTTGTTGCAAGTTAAACGATGCATACCAAGCCCGAAATTCAGCATGGTCGATGTAAATACAGTAGGGAAAGGTCACAACGATATGTTTGGAATTTTACCAAACTTTGCATCAATTTTTAAGATGAATATTTTCTTTTTTACTGACATTATTTACATATAAATATCATACATTTCAAGCTTGGTAAAGAATTAAAATTTTAACATTCAGTATGCACACGGTAAATCGGATAGGGCGGTTTTGACCCCCAAAATGGGGCCAAAATCTTGACCATATAGTGGCCTCCTTAGAGTAGGGCTATTTAGGCAATACCGGTAGGGGCCATTTTTTATCTCTGATTTTGGGACTGTTTTAGCCCCTTATATGGATTTTYCCCCTGATTTGGACTAGTTGGCCTGTTCAATTGTTTCCATGGCTTGACTATTACGTCACTTCCGTCGCTTGATTTCAAAGAAAAACGCGCGAATGCACATTAGTCTTTCTTTCAATAGTTCTGATATTTTTATAGATAATGTATTTAGACTTTTAAAGCCTATGGAATTACAGGCTCACTTCTAAACTGGTTTTCTGATTATCTTCGCGGTAGTTGTAGTTAAGGGCGTCTCCTTCGCCTTGATGTCACCTTTGGAGTCTCTCAAGGTAGCTATCTTTCATTTTTCGAGTAAACTTTATCGAAACATTATTTCAAAAAAACTTCATCGTAGAACTCTTTTGTCAACATTTCTATAAAGTGGGAAAGTAGTAAGGCGCAAAACAAAAAATAGCGAAGAAAAGGGTGAAGTGCATTTTGGTTGGATATTTTTTACTGGTTTTCATTATAGGAGACATAATCTTTATCTTGGATAATAAGAATAGTTAAAGAATTTTTCCGATTCTATTTTCGCCTTTGAGTTTTCTTTTAATCGTGTCTAAAACAATGGAAGCGAAATATGAAACTAATAACAAAGTATGTCAAGTATGAAATAAACACAGATTAAACGAAACGAGGACGCTTACACTCGTTTCCGATCTGGCTTTTCAAATTCGTTTTAACTCATAATAAGAGTTATCTCATTGCATCGTAGAATGGCTCAAAGTCGGTACTGCAGTGTGCATTGGCTCAAACAACGATCAGTTCGGAAGGTTTACTATCCCAGTTGCTTGCCATGTCTTGAACTTCAAACTTGTTTATGTGTCCGGAGGTGGAATATCGTGGGTACCTGGAAACACCAAAGCCTACTGGGGAACTACCTATAGACGCGACAACAAGGATCTTAATCTACACATCACGGATGATAGTAACACCAGAATCAGTCCACCACCTGACTTCCCACTGACTTACCCCCATTACGGTTACCTGACATACCAGTTGCCAGGTGTGACCAACATGGACCCAGAACTTACATTCCCTGAGTTGTCACCTCCCCTAGCAGTGACAGCAGGCAAGGAGTTCAGGATATGGGTGGATCAAGATCTGAAAAACATCAGAGATGATAACAACGATGGACAAACTTGTGCTGATGTTTGGATTACGAAGGGGAATGTGTAATACTCATTCATGGAAGAGAAGAAACTCAATTACCCCCCCCCCCCTAAAATTTTGGCTGGATCCGCCCTTGCTGAGATACTATATTGGTCTAATAGTGAAGAACCACCAGTAGCGAAAATARCCGGTTTTGCAAACCAAAACAGTGGCTGCTAACTCTCGTTTCCAACCTAATTTAAAAAATTGTATCCTTTTGTTATACCGATTAGTAGGGTTAGACTAAAACAATTAGATCTCTCGCTGTCATGGTCTACAAGTCAATATAGCTCATTCGGCTTTCGACCTCATGKGCAATTGACTCGTAGACCATTCAGCTTCGGGTCCAATTGTTAATTAAAATAGACCTCGTCTTTAACTTGAACAATTGTTTTGTCCAATTATTGGCTGACCACTTGTCATTTGTGTATTAGCCATACTCTGACTTCGATCAGCCCAGAGGTTGTTTCAGGGATTGATCTGTAAGTTAGCCATRCCCTGACTTCGATCAGCCCAGAKGTTGTTTCAGGGATTGATCTGTAAGTTAGCCATGCCCTGACTTCGATCAGCCCAGATGTTGTTTCAGGGTTTAATTTATAATTTAGCTGTGCCCTGACTTTGGTCAGCCCAGAGGTTGTTTAAGTGTGTCAATAAAAAATTGCAGGTGTTTGATATATTACACGAACAGCTTTTATTATGAGAGTTGTAAAAGGTACATTTACTTATTTTATTTAGTTTAGTCCACATACAACAAAGAAAACAAATTCAATGTAAATCCAAAAAAATTTAACGCAAGGAAATGAATAATTACAAACAAATGATGGATGAGGCTTACTTACCTCACCCCATAGGCAGCGGAGCGGTTTGGAAAGTACGGGTAACTGATCACTACATCTCAGATTCATATTTTACTGAAAACATTCTCCTTCCATCTAGTAAACAGTGCTAAGCCGAATATAGACCTTTCTTAGGTCGTTCACTTCGATAAACTATGTTTTGATCTTCTTGTCTATGTTTTCCTTATGCTTCCCCACTTTTAAAATTACTTAAAAATAAAAAACGTTGGGTGGCAGCTAAGGCACCCCAATTCCACCGCCTATTTGCGCCCTAACTGTTTGGGGGGAAAACAACAAATCTAAAAGTATTTATTATGCACGACCTTAAAGAAAATAATGACTAAAAACAAGTAAACTTGTCACATTTTATAGTTGTGTAGGTTGTTTTTAAAAAGCTCACTTAAATTTCAATTCATGCGAATTGAACTTGTAAATGATACTTGGACTACACCGCTATTCCTTTAATTTGCATATGTGGAATTTGCGTGTCAAAAATGTTAACGTAGCATGCTATGCTTTACCAACTATGTTATCTATCTGAATTTATAGGGTTTTGCATGGTCACTTGACAAACAAAACTTTTGCTTAACATTTTTTTAAATGTGTTTAAAAACCTTATAGTTTTAAAGAGCATAGCAAATTAAAAATTTCAAAACATTTTTTGAGTCTTAAATGTTTAATTCATAATATTTGATTACAATTGCAAATAATTTAAAGGACTTTTATTTGCATATCTAATCATCATCTCCCATTTTGARATCGAAGCATAAAATCAGTGAAGATTTTAATTTCGATCTTTTTACATTATTTTTGACCTTGGGTAATTCTCAAAACCAAAAATCTAGAAAGAAGACTCCTTTTTCAGATCTCAGTAGACTCCTTCACAGACCTCAGTTATGTCGGGCATCTTGGTAAACACTAAGTGCCTCTCTTTATGACTCCAAAAGTCTGGGAGTTTTTATAAATTCAGTCAAAACTGAGATAACCAAAGTTACTTCCAAAGATTTTTATAAAGAATTCGCTTCGAAGCTAATTGTGGTGCCTACAGCTCAATAGAGATGCAATTTACAATGCAATTTACTCAAATTGTTCTCTCGATTGGGAAAAAATCTATGCTTTGCCTTTCCAAGTTGCTTTAGACCACTCGGACAAGGGAATTTCAATTCAAGATCCTAAATAGGATTTTGTAAATAAATATTCAGTTAAAGAAGTTTGGTTATTGTGAATCAGCATCATTTACTTTCCGATGTGGAGAAGATGAAACGCTTGAGCATTTATTGTGTAAGTGCCGATATACCCAACTGTTTTGGATAGAAGTAATAAAATGGCTAGCCGAATACAATATTGTGATGGATCTTTCAGARCCTADGAATATTTTATTCGGCTTATACAATATAGAAAATAACTTTCATTTAATCAACCATCTTATATTGATAGGAAAACAAAGTGAAGCGTATTGTAAAACAAAAAATCTCAGACCTGAATTAAATATCTTTATAACTATAGTTAAAAATACCAAAAAAGATAGAAAAACAAATCTGTTTATTTAAAAAAGTGGGGGAAAATAAATTAATTAAACCTGCTTTTATGCTGACAAAAATAACTTAATTTCTTATGTGGTTGGGAAGTAAAATACCCTCGGGTTACACACGAAGTAAACAAAATGGCTCCCTTCGATACAAAGTTTTGCACCGTTTTCTAAGAAAACGGAACAACTAAACTCCGAGAAATCGAGAATATGGATTCATATTATCGTAAACAAGGTAGCATGGGTGGCGTTCGCGGCTAACAAGTCGTCTTTTACCGCGGTGAGTCCGGCAACGGGTCGGGTCGCTGGTTCGAGCCCTGCGGTCGCCACATGTGAATTGAGTTTGTTTGATGTGTTGTTCTCTCCTATGCTACGAGGGTTTTCTCCGAGTTCTCCGGTTTCCTCCCTYCGTAAAAATCAACATGTGAGTTGATTGATTTAGTGCAAAAGCGATAAAACGACTAGACACTTAAATAAAAGTGATTTTTTTATTTATTTATTTATTTAACTAGTTACTAAAAAGTGAGGATTTTTTTCCAGCCACAGCTCCGTTCTCATACCTTAATTGATTATATAGTATAAGCACTATACGCAAATGTATTTGTATCCATAGTAACAAGGATTGGTAAACCAGTAACCGCTGTCTTCAGGCTTCATATACACACAATATCCATCTGCGGAGTTAATGGACGAGAGGTCCTTCCAATTCCTGTAATCTAAAGCGGTACCATCGCTCCATGCAAATTCACTTATGTTATTAACGTATCTCAAACCTATCCATAACCAACTGTTAACTGAATTTCTTATCTTATCGTYCATTTCCTGACTGTGGATGGAGGGTAGGTTAAGTGACAAGCTATTGCACTCAGCATAGCCATCTTGCCATGGCCCGTTACTGGAACCTTGATACATGCATACGCCACCTGCCGAATACTGTAGATTGTTTGGACAAGCTGAACCTGAAAAGAAAAACAGCAATATTTAGAACATTCTTTGCTATTTGAATATTACAAAGCTTTAGCATCTATATGATTTATTAGGTAAAATCCGTAGTTACCTAATATTCAATATTAAAAACATTTGAGGTGACATACAAATGTTGAGCAATTATTAACATAGTATGCCAGTTTTTTATTTCATCTAGAGGAGGAGGTGGAGAGGAGGAGGAGTAGAGGAGGAGGTAATTTAACATCGACCTCTCATCGACCTCTCGTCGATGAAATGGCGGCCATCTTGAATTACAAGGCATCATGGGGCATCCAGGGTGCAAATATAGAACTAAGTGAGGTTTGATGACATATTTTTCTTTATATTTCCTGTCATTATTACAGCAAAAAAAGAGTATACTCGGGCATAGAAAACAATGTAGGGCATTTCGATTTGATTTCACTTCATATTYATTCAAATTGGGCTCCCTGTGCCTTGCGTATCGGGAGCTCCGCTTTTAGATAGGCAGTGCCTTAATATATTTATTATAATTGAGCAGCCTATCAATCTCAGTAACAACCAATTCTTACCTGTCTGACAGTTTACTCCTTCAAATCCTGCAGCACATGTACAGTTGTATGAGTTGACTCGGTCGTGACATGATCCTCCATTTTGACAAGGATTAGAGGCACAATCATCGATATCTGATTGAAGCGTATGTTTGTCATTTATATAATTGTACCAACCTATTAATTTCAGTAACAAACCATTTCTTACCTGTCTGACAGTTGACTCCAGTAAATCCTGCAGCACATGTACAGTTGTATGAGTCGACGTGGTCTTGACATGATCCTCCATTTTGACAAGGATTAGAAGCACACTCATCGATATCTGATTGAAACATATTTTGTCATTTATATAATTGTACCAACCTGTTAATTTCAGTAACAAACCATTTCTTACCTGTCTGACAGTTSACTCCAGTAAATCCTGTAGCACATGTACAGTTGTATGAGTTGACTCGGTCTTGACATGATCCTCCATTTTGACAAGGATTACAAGCACAATCATCGATATCTGATTGAAACATATTTTGTCATTTATATAATTGTACCAACCTATTAATTTCAGTAACAAACCATTTCTTACCTGTCTGACAGTTGACTCCAGTAAATCCTGTAGCACATGTACAGTTGTGTGAGTTGGCTCGGTCTTGACATGATCCTCCATTTTGACAAGGATTAGAAGCACAATCATCGATATCTGATTTTGAAAAAAGGTTCGTGATTGATGCATTGATACTCTTTTTCGCATGACATGTGAATGCCTTCAAATTTCATATTTTTATTTTAATTCTTACCTGTCTGACATTCAGCTCCAGTAAATCCTGCAGCACATGTACAGTTGTATGAGTTGACTTGGTCTTGACATGATCCTCCATTTTGACAAGGATTAGAAGCACAATCATCGATATCTAGTAGCAAAATGTAACAATGATTTATTAAAGGCAAACGTCTTTAGTTTTTACAAGTTGTCTTGTTGATAATTCTTCGGTAAATGTTCTCATTTTCGAACTTCTAGCAGATATTCCTATCATTTATATTGGTTCACGTGCCATTCCCTTGTGAATTTTTCTGTCTYTTTCTAATGCCTGCATCGCCTGAGAAGAGCTAGGTCCTAAAATAGCATTTTCTTTAAAATGAAAAGACGAATTTCGCATTAGTGTAAAAGGTGAAACGATTGACTTGTGGAGTCGACCGGTCTTGGTGGGTCTAGTTTATATAAATAATGAATTATTCAAATACAATTAGCATTMTCCTAATCAAAGTAGTAGACAGAAAGTGGGGAATATATACATACGTAAGTAAATGTAAACGCCTTTTATTTTGACATACYTTTTTCGCAGTTGCTCCCAGTAAATCCTGCAGCACATGTACAGTTGTGTGAGTTGACTCGGTCTTGACATGATCCTCCATTTTGACAAGGATTAGAAGCACACTCATTGATATCTGTTTTTATAATTAATAAATGAGTACTGATTGCAGGCAATAAGAACAAGATGTATTCCTAAAGAAAAACGTTTAAGTTTTATCAGACTTTTAAAAGTCTAATATTAAAGTTGATGGGAAAAAACTCACGAATTTCACACGAATTTCCCGTGAATCCTGGTTTGCACTCGCATCGGTGGGTTTCTTGTGCAAAATTGAACTTACAGATGGAATGCTTTGAGCAATTGCAATTATTCTGTAGAGAAAATGAATGAAAGCACATTTTGTTAATAAAATATGATTATAAAGTATGATCGATTTTGTAAGTAGAACGTACATATATTGGGATAGACCTCTTTAGCTTGGGCGTTTGAATATACTTTGTGGACTATATCCACATACTCCTGGTGCAATGCCAACAACTTACTCGTGGTTCTCTGGATTTTGTGCTTGTTGTTTCTCGTTTCACTATATCTAGCGAGCCATGGTG